CTTTTCTTTGGCTGCCTCGTTGCTGACTGATGGAGCAACTATGACGTCATCGCCGTGCTTCCAATCCACTGGCGTCGCCACGCTGTACTTGGCCGTCAGCTGCAGGCTGTCTATCACCCGCAAGATCTGACACACGGCCGTTCAGATGGATGGGAGGATGAGCGGGGAAGAAAGGGAATGGAAGGAGAAGATAAAATTGGTTAAGAGAGGAAGGCCGTGAGCGGGGGCTGGGGCAGAAACGAGATGTGACAGACAAACATAGCATGCACAGATACACCATGCCGCATGTGCGTTTTCCGAATTGGGAAGCCATACCGCACGCACCTCATGAAAATTGCGACCAGTGGTTGCGGGGTACAGGATGGAGAGCTTGAGCGTCTTATCCGGGCCCACCACGAACACGGCTCGCGCTGTCAGAGGCAGCCCCGCCGCGTCCTTCGCCACTGCATCCAGCATGCCCAGCTTCACCGCGATGTCGCGACTCGGGTCCGCGATTATCGGATAGGTGACCTGGCGTGGGGAGTGGATGATGATTGAGAGGAAGCGGAACAAGAAAAAAAAAAACTCCGGGCTGGAAATCTTGCTGTTGCCAATCTATCGAGGAGCGTGGATTTCTATGCGTCGAGGATGCGCTTAATGAGGCATGACATACCTTGATGCCTGGAGTGAAGGCCTCTATGTCGCTAATCCACGCGCGGTGCGAGTCAGCGCTGTCGCAGCTCAAAGCTGCCACCTTCACGCCCTTCTTCGCGAAATCCTCTGCGAATTTCGCCACGCTGCCCAGCTCCGTCGTGCACACGGGGGTGAAGTCAGCTGCAAAGAGGCACGCAGCGCGAAATCCGTGCCCACCGCAATTGACGGTCAGAATCATGAAGTCTGACGGTGCACCAATCGCTATTCTTTTCTTGGCCAATTTTTGCCCTATTTTCGCAAAAACGCAACACGCAAGCTGTGCCGCGTACCAGGGTGCGAGAAGAGAATCGCCCAGCTGCCGTCGATGTAGTCGTGCCACTTTATGCGGCCCGCCGTGCTCGTGTCCGCCTCGAAGTCCGGAAAGCGATCGCCCAGCTTCAGCCCCACCGACTTGTCGTGAAGTGCCTTGGCCGCGTCCTCGCTGCAGGGTGGCGTCGTGAGAAGGAACGAGGGGAAAATACGAAAACGGTGACGAGCGCGAGAGAAGAAACGAATGATGAGAGCGCATGAGGAGTATAGAGGGAGGGCCGTTGAGAATTTCCAAAGCGCAAACGTAGGCTGCGTCCTTGCTGCAGCGATAGCTACGAGCGCACGATGCGTATAATTCGACAGCAGCGACAGCCCATACTAGTATTAGCCCCACAATCCGATGAAACAGAATTCTGTCAGAACACACAACCTCAAACTTACCTTCCAGCCATGTTGCAATGCAGTGGCGACTGAAGGTAGTAACAGCAGATACCAACGAGCGGCAGATACTAGAGACGTCCTGAAGCATGAGATGGTGCAAAGATTGGGAACGAGGAAATACGATGGGATTATGACGAAGGGACTGCGATGTGTGAGAGGCGAACGGGTCGAGGTTGGGTAACATCGAAAGCGACCACGACGTATCGGACTGCGCTTCAGTTCAACGTATCATACCACTAAGCACCCTGCTATGTATGACTTGAGTCTCAAAATGCTGACATTTGAAAATCTAACCGAATCGGCGACGTTCGTTGCATGTCAGCACAGTAGTCCAAATTCACATAACCTGCGGCAGTGAACCACGTATTGCATTTCTTTTCTCAAGTTCCACTTATGTAAATGGAAAACATTATCCCTACAGCAGTGTACTCCGTCACGTAACATCCTCTTATCGAGTTCTAAAGCTCCCTCTCGACTCCCCAGCTTTTGACCCCGTTTGAATCGCGAGGTTTCCCCAAACCCAGAATGTGAAGGAGCCCAGTTACTCTTCCGTTATTCTTTGAACGGCACTGTTCTCTACAGAATGCGCTCTCGATCTCAAACATCCGACGGAGGCTCTGTCTGTGCTGTAGCCTCTGTCAGAATCTGTCAGACAACGAAGCAGACACACTGACACTCTTGCGGTGTGTGGTGCAGCTCGGTTTCTGGGATTGTTTGTGCGTTTCCTCGGTGAAAGTGGTCGTGAATTTTGCCAAATCGCGGAGCTTGGACACTTCCTCATCCACACAACGCGGATGCAAGGCAATCACAGCTCTTCGATCGCACACGGCTCAGCGATCCACGGGATTGGATATACAACCTATTTTCAACCCCAATTGCACTAATGGGGTATGCACCCTTTCTAAATCTTTGACCGAGGGTCGTGTGGGGCATCATTAAATTTTAGCGAGAGTCTGTTCCAGATCCCCGAAGAGAGTACTGTAGAAGTGGCGCTATGGATTCAGATTCGCATAATGAGTTTAAACTTCGAGCATTAGGCGTCATTCATAGCCCCAGTCATCTACGTGTCAAACTGAAATAGTCGAAAACGTGCAGGGTAGCTTTGAAACGCGAGATTAGTGGGTTGGGTTTCCCCTTGAAAATAGCGGTGGTTAGGTACTGTACTGCGTAACGGCGTCGAGAATCGAGATTCGAGATTCTAGAGCCTAGAGGGCATGCATGCCACCAGCAAAGGAGAACTGTTCGTCGTTTCATGCGCAACTGTTGCTAGAGTGTTCTCGTCTCTGGCTGTGCGCGATCCGCGTTGGCACAAGGAGGATCGAGCACATTCCAGTGGTGCATCGACAAGCTGTATTGCCGCCACAAACGCATGGGGCATCTGACTCTGTCGCTTCACTGTGCACGTCAGCAAGATACAGAATATGAGCATCCGACTCAAGCTTCAACAGAACAACATCCTTAAAAAAAAAAACGAATATTTTCGAGTCAAATAGTGATCCTCCTGGTTCATGAGTATCACAAGAAAACCTATACAGTCCAGCATTAGCTGATAAATATGGCTGCCCGAAGCTGAGACTTTTAGCAGTCCATCGTCCTTGTATAGAGGAACAAATTCCCAATCCACCCGTCCAAGGGGCTACCTGTCGCGTCAAGCTGGCCAGCGTGCTTGCAAGCATTGATTCCAGAGAATCATGTCATGTGATCCTGACGTGCTTGGGTGCAACAGCAACCGCAACGTGTTAGCGCGTCGATGGGAAGTCGTTGGAGGAATTATGAGCTGCGCGGGCTCCCTTCTCACGCCTCAAAACGGGAGGGAGAATGTCAGAACATGGAGCAGAGCACAAACCATTTCCGCTGCATTCTTGTTCTCGAGCAACAGAACTTTCTCGCGGATCAGTTGAGAAGCACGTTTTTGCAATAAAAATAGCAGCTGATTTCCGTAGTCGCTCCCTTGTTCCACGTTCAACTGCATTGTGGATAGCTCTGTTTCCGCGATCACTCCCAGTGTAATCTTACATGATCCGGTTCCTTGGTTTGTAGCCTGAAGTTAGAACCAGTCATCTCTTCGTGTGACGGATCTTTTAACTGCTGAGCTAAACCCGCGAACGCGCTTCTTGTCTCCGCCGGACTTCACGAGATTTTCGAGCAGAAGCCGTCTTTTCCGCCAACGGAGCACGCAGATTGACTCTGACCGCTGATTCCACATCCCCCAGCAACAATGGCGTCTGGAGTTCGCGTGTGCGTGGACCATCACAGTTCGTTAGACGACCCTTCCACGCCGCGCCTCTTGGTCGACGACAGCCTGTCGCCGTCGCAGATTATCCGGAGGAAGCTAGAAAACGTGGACACGCGCGCGCTCGAGGGCAAGCTTAGACTCCTCGACATGCAGCGGCAACTCTCCGCCGTCCGATGCCAGCAATTCGTCGAAATGCTCGAATCCGAGCTCCAAGCCGCCTCCGCCACGTCAGCAGCGCCGTCACCTGCATTATCGCCGTCGTCGACGTTCCCGTCCGCGTCGAGGCCGCATCGAACCCTAACGCGCATCGGCTCGCTCGACCGCGAAGGCCGGTCCCTGTGGGCGCGGAGCCACGCCAGCTGCCAGCCAATCAGAGACTACGCCTCCGCGCCGGTCCAGAGATGCGGTTCGGTCGACAGATGCGGATCCGTCGAGCGGGAAAGCAGCGGCAGGGGATTCGCGAGCTGGAATGACACAGAAACCGGCGGCAGCGGCTCTACGGGTCGACGCTCTCTCGACGTGGGTAATGGCGGCGGGAGCTGGAGAGACGATCTGAATTTCTATCAGGAGCCGCGTTCGCTCAGTCGCAGTCACACCAACCCGCCGTCGCCGGCTAGCCGGTCGCCCAGGAGCCCGCGCTGCAGCAGCCCGCGCCACGTCAGCCACACCGCGGTGCGGCACAAATCGCTGTTGCGCCACTCGAGCCTGCAGGTTGGGCATGCCGAACCCGCCTTGTGACTCCGCCGAGCGCAATTCGGCCATATGTGATTATATGGAATGTGATCCGCCGAGGTGCTATAGAAACCCTAAACTCGGCCTGTGGCCGTGATGCTACAGCGATTTTGTGCTTGAAAAGGGGGAGCGGAAGAGATGCAGACAGGCGCAGAGGCGAAGCGCTGACGCTGCTGCTACCTAACCTTTCTGAATACGGCATACCACCCCATTTCTATGGTAGATACTATTTAGCTGATCAAGCTTAGACTTCTTGTAAATGAGACCCATTCGTGGGTCATTCCCTAATATACAATACTTTTACATATCGTTTGGTAATGTACACTACGCTCGCTGCTTGGGACAAATGTTGAATGCAACCACTGTGTAAGAATGCAAAAAGAATTTGCGCGTTTGTGTGGAGCATCACATCGAACCCACATACGCCACCAAGATACGACAGTCGCTGTCCGTGCTCGTGTCACTTCATGCAACGCAATGCGTCGCCGTGAGACGAGGGGAGCCGAGCGCGATGACGCGCGCATGTCGCGCTGAGGTCGTGCCGGCCGGTACGCGCACCGAGTGACACTCCGCGGGTAGATCGCGCGGGAATGCATCCGCGCCGCTTCGAGCGTGCTTGTTTCGAGGCGTCTGAAAACGCGTAGAAAGGATGACGTGCCGCTGTCAACAGGGGCCGTGGCGGGACGGCCGCCTCAGCGACTCTGACGGCAGCCGCGGCGCTTTTGACGGCGCCGGCTACGATGACGCTGCGCCGTTCATTTCGTCGTCAGAACATTCGCGCCGTTCCGGGGCGCCCTTCCGCGCGCCCTTGAGATTTGGCGGCGTGCGCCACCTGCGCCTGCTGTTGCTGGCGCTTGTTATCGCCGCGGCGGACCTCCTCTTCCCTGCCTGCTCCTGGCGCAGCTTCCGCCTGCTCCGCGCGGGGGGCGGAGACTTTCCGCCCACGGGGAACGGAGATGCCTTAGCCCCGCCCTCGCCGTTGACTCCGTTGACTCCGTTGAACGAGTCATATGGCCACGTCAGCTGCTCCCTCACTGCCCTCCGGTGAGACCCACTGAGGGAAGAGCCAGTGAGGAGAGAGCCCTTGAATGATGATGGCACGGTGGCACGGTGGCAGGATGGCATAATGACACGATGGTGTGATGGTGTGATGGTGTGATTGCGTGGCGACCCCTTGACATCCCTTCTGGTTCTTCCCTCTCCGTCCTGCTTTCGTGAATGAACCCTTCTCCCTTCTCTTTCGCCCACCTCTTTCCTCCTTTTCTTACCCCAACTCCCGCCCCATACCCCATGTGACTGCGCGCTCATGCACCCTCCACCACCTCCTCCATCTTGTGGTGCTGTGTGGCTGGGAGCGGTGGAGAGCGGCACCAGACGTCTCAGCAGCATGCTCTCCCTCCCCTCGCCGTCCCCACACCTCCCCTTGTTCGCATTGCTCCTTCCTCCCCTCCACCCTACATCCTCTCCACTACTGGTACCACCACCAGCCACAGCACCACTGGCAGCACCACTGGCAGCACCACTGGCAGCACCACTGGCAGCACCACTGGCAGCATCATCGCCAGCACCAGCGCCAGCACCGGAACGTGCGCCTCCTCCTCCGCTCCCCCCCATTCCTGCTGCCGCCTCCCCTGCTCTGTCTCCCCTTCCTCCACCTCCCTCTGCCCTGACTCCTTCTGCCCCACCCCCATACCTCTCTCCCATCGCTCCCCACTCCTCAGCATCCCCACTTCCTCCGCCTCTCCCTACCCTCTCTCCCCCGCCACCGCCCCTCGCCGCCTGCCCACTGTCCCGCCTCTATCTGCCACAAGCCGTGGCAGCCGCAGCAGGGGATGGCGCCAACGCAATAGCAGCAGCAGCACCAGGGGTTAGTGCTAATGCGTCTACCCCAACAGCAACAGCAGCAGCAACAGCAGCAGCAGTAGCGCCTCCCTTACAGTGGACGCCCCAGGCGCACAAGTACATTCTCATGCACTGCGACAGCGGCCAGGTGACGTGCTTGCCGCTCGCCTGTTGTGCGACCGGCTGCCTGCTGTCCAAACTATTATGAACATCCTCTTCTCATCTCTCCTTCCACTTCCTCCCATTAAATTGTTCTCTGCCTTACCCCTCTCCATCCCCCACACAAAGCAGATCAGCAACTGGGTGCATTGCATTCGAATGCACCTCCTCTTTGCCGGTCTGCTCCACCGCACCCTCCTTGTGAACGCCCTGCCGTCCGAAACCAAGGGGGCTTACAACTACTCTCTCCTCTTCGACATCTCGCATGCACGGCAGTGCTACGGGCCCACCTCTGTACAGACCACTGAGGAATACTATAACGAGTATGGAAAAAAGGTGGAGCTGGATCGAGTGCTCTGCTGGAGGTATGGGTCGATACCCGCTACAGCGCGCGATATGAAGACCTTTGTGCATATACCCGATAAAGTGAATATTAAAGGCCACGTATCGAAATCAGCGTCGGGTACACTCAAGAAGTTTCATACTTTCTTCAATTCGCATACGGGCCATGCCGATGTGATATTACTGGGGGATTTATACAGCTACCCCTCTTTTGAAGGCTTGGAGCACCCCTTGGCTTGGGGCGACCTTCCTTTTCAACGCCTGCCTGGCTGCCCGAGCACGCTTGCAGTGCAACCAGACGAGCGGATTTTCCGGGCAGCCGAAGATTTTGTCCAGGAAATTTTCGGGCAGAAGGCGTTCTTAAGCCTGCATTTGAGGGCGGGGGATCTGCGGGCGAGCTGTGAGCGGCAGCAGCTGGACGTGGGGTGCCGGCTGGGGCCCCACCAGGTGGTGGCGTGCGTCAAGAGGAAGCTCAGAGTGCACCGGCTCATGCACCTCTTCATCGCCACAAATGCTGCCCACAAGGAAGTACCGCTGGCAGGAAAATGCTGGCAGGACAACGTTGGCGGGAAAACGTTGGAAGGAAAATTCTGCTTTCTGGACCCCATGCTTGTGTCTTGCCCTTGGCACTCCTCCCTCACCAGCATGAACTTCTCCCAATCGCTCGGTATAGCTGACCCAGCACCCGTGCCAGGCCTGGCTGCGATCTTGAGCTGTGTGCCCTCGTAACTTGAGACATAACCCCCTCACCTATCTTCCCTGCTTCATACTCCCCCAATCCTCACCACCAGGTGCAGGAACTGAAGCAGTTGTTTCAAGCCAGAGCCCCCGCCCCACCACCCCCCCCGGGAGCATCCGTCCTCCCCCCAGGCGTAACCTTCCAAGTGGTAACCAGCGTGCACAGTTGGCCGGGGCTGAAGCGGTGGTTCGGGGAATTGGACGACGCACAGTCAAAGCAGGTAGAGGCAGAGGTGGAAAAGGTGGTGGCGGTGCGGGGGAGTGTGTTCCAAGGCACGTGCACGTCTACCTTCTCCCTGGACGTGGAGAGAATGAGGCTGGCCTTGGGAAGGGGTAGCTGCCATGACTCGTTTGTGTGCGATGAGGAGATAACGGCGGGCGAGGTGGTGAATGAGTCGGAGAGGAAAGGGTGCCGCACGGAGTTTCTGTTCTGGTAGCACGTTGCGGTGTGTGCTTTTCTCATTTCTCTTTCCTATGATATATGCCGTTTAGCCAGGCCCTGATCCAGCTACCCAAACGTATTGTAATGACACCCATGTGTGGGTCACACTCTACTATAAAAATGTTTTGCTTATCGTTTGACGATCTACACTACGGTCGTTACTGCTTGAAACGAATCTTGAGACTTGACCACTGTAAGCAAGCAAAGCCCAGCACGCTTCCATACAGCAACAAATCAAACCATCACTCGTCGCACCGCCATGCCGATTATCTCATGCCCGTATTCTCGACTCGACGGTAGCTGGTGCGCGTGCCCCTGCCACGGATGCATCGCAGCGCGTCGCCGTGAGACGAGGGGAGCCGAGCGCGATGACGCGCGCATGTCGCGCTGAGGTCGTGCCGGGCGGTAAGCGCGCCGAGTGACACTCCGCGGGTACATCGCGCGGGAAATGCCTCCGCGCCGCTTCGAGCGTGCTTGTTTCGAGGCGTCTGAAAACGCGTACAAAGGATGACGTGCCGCTGTCAACAGGGGCCGTGGCGGGACGGCCGCCTCAGCGACTCTGACGGCAGCCGCGACGCTTTTGACGGCGCTGGCTACGATGACGCTACGCCGTTCATTTCGCCGTCAGAACATTCGCGCCGTTCCGGGGCGCCCTTCCGCGCGCCCTTGAGATTTGGCGGCGTGCGCCACCTGCGCCTGCTGTTGCTGGCGCTTGTTATCGCCGCGGCGGACCTCCTCTTCCCTGCCTGCTCCTGGCGCAGCTTCCGCCTGCTACGCGCGGGGGGGGGAGACTTTCCGCCCATGGGGAACGGAGATGCCTTAGCCCCGCCCTCGCCGTTGACTCCGTTGACTCCGTTGAACGAGTCATATGGCCACGTCAGCTGCTCCCTCACTGCCCTCCGGTGAGACCCACTGAGGGAAGAGCCAGTGAGGAGAGAGCCCTTGAATGATGATGGCACGGTGGCACGGTGGCACGATGGCATAATGACACGATGGTGTGATGGTGTGATGGTGTGATTGTGTGGCGACCCCTTGACATCCCTTCTGGTTCTTCCCCCTCCGTCCTGCTTTCGTGAATGAACCCTTCTCCCTTCTCTTTCGCCCACCTCTTTCCTCCTTTTCTTCCCCCAACTCCCGCCCCATACCCCATGTGACTGCGCCCTCATGCACCCTCCACCACCTCCTCCATCTTGTGGTGCTGTGTGGCTGGGAGCGGTGGAGAGCGGCACCAGACGTCTCAGCAGCATGCTCTCCCTCCCCTCGCCGTCCCCACACCTCCCCTTCTTCGCATTGCTGCTTCCTCCCCTCCACCCTACATCCTCCCCACTTCTGGTACCACCACCGGTCACAGCACCACTGGCAGCACCACTGGCAGCACCACTGGCAGCACCATCGCCACCACCAGCGCCAGCACCGGAACGTGCGCCTCCTCCTCCGCTCCCCCCCATTCCTGCTGCCACCTCCCCTGCTCTGTCTCCCCTTCCTCCACCCCCCCCTGCCCTGACTCCTTCTGCCCCACCCCCATACCTCTCTCCCATCGCTCCCCACTCCTCAGCATCCCCCCTTCCTCCGCCTCTCCCTACCCTCTCTCCCCCGCCACCGCCCCTCGCCGCCTGCCCGCTGTCCCGCCTCTATCTGCCACAAGCCGTGGCAGCCGCAGCAGGGGATGGCGCCAACGCAATAGCAGCAGCAGCACCAGGGGTTAGTGCTAATGCGTCTACCCCAACAGCAACAGCAGCAGCAACAGCAGCAGCAGTAGCGCCTCCTTTACAGTGGACGCCCCAGGCGCACAAGTACATTCTCATGCACTGCGACAGCGGCCAGGTGACGTGCTTGCCGCTCGCCTGTTGTGCTACGGGCTGCCTGCTGTCCAAACTATTATGAACATCCTCTTCTCATCTCTCCTTCCACTTCCTCCCATTAAGTTGTTCTCTGCCTTACCCCTCTCCTTCCTCACACCGCACAGATCAGCAACTGGGTGCATTGCATTCGCATGCACCTCCTCTTTGCCGGTCTGCTCAGCCGCACGCTCCTTGTCAACGCCCTGCCATCGGAGACCAAGCGAGCCTACAACTACTCTCTCCTCTTCGACATCTCACACGCCAGGCAGTGCTACGGGACCAGCGTTGTACAGACCACTGAGGAGTACTATAACGAGTTTGGGAAAAAGGTGGAGCTGGATCGAGTGCTTTGCTGGAGGTACGGCTCGATACCCGCTACAGCGCGCGATATGAAGACCTTTGTGCATATACCCGACGATGTGAATATTAAAGGCCACGTTTCGAAATCAGCGTCGGGTACACTCAAGAAGTTTCATACTTTCTTCAATTCGCATACGGGCCATGCCGATGTGATATTACTGGGGGATTTATACAGCTACCCCTCTTTTGAAGGCTTGGAGAACCCCTTGGCTTGGGGCGACCTTCCTTTTCAACGCCTGCCTGGCTGCCGGAGCACACTCGCTGTGCAGCCAGACGCACGGATTGTCCAGGCAGCTGAAGACTTCGTGGATGAGAAATTCGGGCAGAAGCCTTTCTTGAGCCTGCACATGAGGGCGGGGGACCTGCGGGCGAGCTGTGAGCGGCAGCAGCTGGACGTGGGGTGCCGGCTGGGGCCCCACCAGGTGGTGGCGTGCGTCAAGAGGAAGCTCAGAGTGCACCGGCTGATGAGCCTTTTTATTGCAACGAATGCTGGCCACTCGGAGGTATGCTTGAAAGGTGTGCTTGAAAGGTGTGCTTGAAAGGTGTGCTTGAAAGGTGTGCTTGAAAGGTGTGCTTGAATTGACACAGACCACACCTGGGGCCTCACCAAGTGGTGGCGTGTGTGAAGAGAAAGCTGCGAGTGCACCGCCTCATGCACCTATTCATCGCCACCAATGCTGGCCATTCAGAGGTATGCTTGAGGATTTTGTGCTGCCCACAAGAGCCCTGAGAATCCCCATGAAACTGTTTCCCATCTCTTCTCATCTTGCAACACGTATTCTTCACACTCCCTTGGTAAAGCTGACCCGATCCTTGTGAAACAGTCTGTGAGCACTCATGACAACCTTTTATTCCACCCATCTTCCCCCCCCTCCCAACCCCCCACGCGGGAATCCACATCACCAGGTGCAGCAGGTGAAGCAGTTGTTTCAAGCCAGAGGCCCCGCCCCACCATCGCCCCCAGGAGCACCCATCCTCCCCCCCGGCCTTACCACCCAAGTGGTAACCGGCGTGCACGGTTGGCCGGGCCTGAAGCGGTGGTTCGGGGCACTGGATGAGACACAGTTGAAGCAGGTAGAGGCGGAGGTGGAAAAGGTGGTGGCGGTGCGAGGCACTGTGTTCCAAGGCACATGCACGTCAACGTTCTCCCTGGACGTTGAGAGAATGAGGCTGGCCTTGGGAAGAGGTAGCTGCCATGACTCGTTTGTGTGCGATGAGGAGATCGCGGTGGGGGAGGTGGTGAATGAGTCGGAGAGGAAAGGGTGCCGCACGGAGTTTCTGTTCTGGTAGCCCATTGTGGTATGTGCTTCTCATTTCTCTTTCTTATGATATACCGTATAGTTCCGGCTAGAAGACCCGCCGGTAAGAAGGTCTCCTGGGACTCTTGAATGGGTAGGGGGACTCTTATTGTGGCCGATTTTGTGAGCACCCCCCTTTGGCCTCTAGTCAGGCCCCATGAAGTCAGAGAAATTTCTCTGATTTGCCTATAAAAGTCTGATTTCTCAGACTTTTTTTTTAGTGTTGTCTGTTAAATTCAGACTTTTTTTTAAAGTATTGTTTGTTAAATTCAGAGTTTTTTTTAAGCCAAGTCTGCAATTTCAGAGATTTTTTTTAGGGTACTCTGATAATTCAGAGTCAAATGCGTACGGACTCTGAAACTGATTCAATGTACCTTGGCACCCACACCCACGATTTGCGCTAGTACGTGTACCTGGGTGGTCAATCACGCGTAACCTGGGACCACACATCAACAGTCAAGTTTTGTGGGCGTGGCCGCCCTGCGACGCGGTTTTTCCTACGTAAACACCAGCGCACAGCCTGCTAGAGCATCGATTGGTCCTTATGGCAGCTTCTGTGTGCCATCACGGACCGGCCTTGCACCCACGATGCTGCACTAGCCACCCACGACACAACACAACGCTGACAACATTGCACTTCTGACGCGCCTCGTCGTTGTCGTGCATGCAAGGTAACCACCCATCCACCTCAACGGGTCCTCCTTGTCTTGTCTATTGCCATCACCTTTCAGCTAGGGTTTCATCCACACCCCCTAGCTGGTGTTGACTGGCCTCAGCCAGTCCCTAGTTCTGCCTCGCGAACACATTTCTTGTTCCTGCTCGGCAGGCTCTTTCTGAACCCCGCCATGGCGGTGCTGGACAATCCCAGCTCCAGCGATCCCGACCCTGATTCCCAGCCTGCCTTAACAGGCTTAGACTTTCTTCTCAGTACGTTAGAACTCGACAAGGCAACACGCGCCACGCCCGATACGATCCCCACACAAAAAGAATCGACGGCACCGGTTATCTCACTGTATGCCGAACCTGTGGCAGAGACACCTGCGGAACCAACTGTGGGTGCGGCCTCGCAGCATTCGCCTCTGACCACGGCGCGCACGATTCGGCTCAAGCAGGCGACATTGGGCTTCTGCAAGGCATCGTCGTCGTCCGCCGACGTCAACGCCCCCGGAACATCTGAGCGACCGCGTCCACGCCTTAACATCAACCTGGACGAGCTCATCGAAGAAGTCTACAATGAGGCGATAGACAAGTTCAAGAGTCTCTGGTCTGCTCGTTTTCCGTGGCTTCAGATCACTAAAGTCGCCTCTGGTTTGCCTGCGTTCAAGTGTACTTTGTGTGTGTCATTTGCTGGCGATGCAGGCAAGTGCGGGAGGAGTGGGAAAGGTGCTACCGATTTGCAGACACAGTCGTTTCGGAAACATGCTGGCGATGGCGAGGTTGACATCTGCGCAGGAGTGCCGGGCGACGCAGCCGCTTATCGACCAACATCGCGCAACGGTTGATACTGAGAAGCTGCGCGTCATCGCTCTTCTCGACTCGTTGCTGTTCGTCAGCAGGTCCGACGCGCCCATGGGGATGTGGGTGAAACTGGTGCGGTATCTGGCGGAGAAGGGCGTGCAGGGCTTCCCGAAGATGGGGTACGGCACGTACTATACGACGTGAGTGATGAACACTTTATGTGAGCTGCTATAATAATATGTGTTTCCAGTAAGTACGTCAATGATTTGATACTCACTGTTGTTTCTTGTTGCAGATACGGCTTCGGTGAGCTGACGCAAGCGACGGCGACATGGCTCCAGACAACCCAGCTGGATCACATCCTGCTGTCGCCCTTCGTCGGCATCTCGATCGACGAGGGCACTGATAGGTGCAGCGGGAAGCACCTTATCATCTTCATTACCTTCATCCGCGAGTTCAAGCTTGTCACGGAGTTCATGGCCCTACTCACCGTGGACAAGGCCGACGCAGCCTCTCTTCTGGCTAGCTTGGTGTCACACCTGCGGGCGGTGGGGATCGGCCTTCAGCGCATTGCAGGCATCAGCACCGACGGTGCGGCAGACATGATGGGCAAACAGGCTGGCCTCACGACACGCCTCCGCCTGCGCATCCCACATTTGGTGTCATCCCACTGCATCGCGCACAGGTACTATCTGGAATGTTTGTGCCTAATCGTGCAGTGCAATGTTTACATATTCTATTTGACGGTCTCACTACTGTCCTTCACTCGTGTTGTAGAGGGAGGCACTGGCGGCTAAAACTGCCGCCGAGAAAATCCCCGCCTTCAACGTCATTGATAAGGTGATTCGGACAGTGGCAGAGCATCTCGGCCGCTCTGGGCCATGGCACCAGCGCTTCATGGGCTTGCACGAAGTTTTCACGTCAACTTGACTCGAGCTGCAAGTCATTCATACCGTCCGCTGGCTATCGAGGGGTGACGCGGTGCAGAGGCTTCTGAAAGTGTTGCCGGCTCTCATCGTGATGCTGAAGGAGTGGGACGCGGAGCTGTATGTGCTCGTGACAAGCTACAGGTTTCACTTTCTCCTGTTTTTCATAGCAGACGTGCTTGAGCAGCTCAACATCTTGAACAGGGCCTTCCAGCACAAAGAGGTGAGCTCAATGTTATAGTGTCCTATCATTGTTGTTACATGCTTGGTCAATATCCTCTTCTGCTAAGTTCTAGTGCTGCTTCTTTCCAGCATGCTTACCGTGTGCATGAGCTAACTACCTTGTGCCTTATTTCTGTCCAGCTTGACTATGTGGGCATGCATGCGCAGATCAAGCGCACAACGTCCCACATCGAGAGCCGCTACGTCGATTGCGGCGACGACTTCGGTGGCGGCGTCAGCGAGCGGCTGTCCCCCTTCATCACGCGCCACGGCCCAGGAGGAAACAAGGAAGTTACTGTCGAGGGTGTTGACTCGGACGGCCGCCCTGCACGCTTCACCTTCAGGCTGCATGAGGACGAGCAAGAGGAATTCGATGGGCCTGGGACCCACGATGCTTGCATTGAGGTCTGCACCCGGTTCGCCGAGGTGATCGTGCACCAACTGCTTCATCGGCTTGGCGATCTGGAAGGGATGTCTGGGGCAAGGCTATTCACCCCCGACGAGTACCCGCTGGATCGAGGAGAGAGGAACCGTAGGTGCATGGAGTGGCTGGAGTCGCTTGTGACCCTTTTCAAGGCCGACCAAACCGAGGAGATCCTGCCTGGTACGCCCATGTTTGTGTAGTTCTCATGTAACTGTTGTAATTGGCATTGCATATGTTGTGCTTCACTGTATATTCACTAAGCATCGTCTACTGTTACTCTTCCTCCCCCACCAGGAATCAACAAACGTCGTGCGGAAAAGGAGTTGCGCATGTTCTCCTCGGTGCTTGCAGGAGCCACGAAGAACGAGTGCAGCTTCCACGCCGGGCTCACTGCCATGCTCAAGACACCCGACTGGCGGGACAACTACCCCAACCTCGTGCTTCTGTGGGTGGCAGTAGTCGTACTGCCGCTGAGCACAGTAGAGTGCGAGCGGGGATTCTCCCGCCAGAACATCAAGTCGTGGCAGAGAGGCGCGCTGGAAGATGCACGCCCAGGAGACCTCATGTGCATGAGTCTCATGGACTACGAGCCCAAGTGGGATGAAATTGTGACCATTTGGAGGAGCTACAAGAAGCGCAAGCCCCAAAGCAACGCTCCACTCCCGCCTGCAGGAAGGCAACAGAGCAAGAAGAGTAGGGAGGTTGATGACGAGATGGAAGTGGTAGACTTAGACGCTGAGAAAGATGCAGTTGACAGTGATGATGACGATGGATTTGCTGACTGGATGTAGGTAGGGTAGTTAGTTAGTTAGTTCTATTCTAACTATGATCTTGTGAAGGCTAAGCAGCAGCATTAGTAGTGGTAGTAGTACTAGTATGAATGTAGGCAAAGCTGTATGAGAAGTGGAGTAGGCTTGCTTCAATATGATTACTAGGGCTACAACAAGCACAATCAGACTTTTACTTGAGTGTACTCTGAAAGTTTCAGACTTTTTTTTTAAACACACTCTGACGTTTCAGACTTTTTTTTTAAGACAACTCTGAGGATTTCAGACTAATACTGAGAGAGAGTCTGACGAATCAGACAGGCCAAAAACGAATCTGAGGGCCTGCCTCTAATCATCATAAGACCCCCCTTTTCTGTATACAAAAGGTATAATCGATATTGTGCGTCAGCTTTTACTGGAATAAATCCGAATTCTGACACGCTTTTTTGTGTCAGACTCGAACTCTGACACAGATCTGACGCGCCGCACGCGCAGAATTTGCGCGAATTCGTTACGAATATAAGACCCCCCCACCCCAAATTGAGTCGTACTCCCTAAATATCAGATTGATAATTGACAAATAGGTTCAGGGCCTGTGCTAGGTTTTGGGGCATCCTGAGGCCTCAGGGCAACTTTCCAGAATCTGAAAAAATGCCCTGATTTGTCAGGGCAACTTTTCGGAGGCTTCCTGTAATTTCAGGGCTTCTACAAAAAAAATATCCTGGCCTGTCAGGGCAAAAATATAAGCGTTCAGGGTTCATAATAATTGGTCGGCAAGTCAAGTTGAAGCTACATATGCCTGCACGGGGGAGGGTTCGATCCGAAGACCTCATCTCTCGGAAGTAATTTTCTACTGCCTGGGCCATTTCTGGATGTCTAGATGGTTGATTCAACGGTTATCGAAAATTTTGCCACGGGACTCCCCCCTCAACCCCCCCCCCCCCCCCCCCCTCCCCCCCACCAAAAAACGCGTCAGGGCAGGCCTCGGCATTCATCCTGACGCTACAAGGAAGAACACTACAGCCATTCTGAATGTTCAGGGTATTTCATATAAAAACATCCTGAGGCCTCAGGGTTAAAATTTACACTATTCTGAAATGACAGGGTAAATTTAAAACTACATCCTGAATTCAGGGTAATCAGGATGTTTTGCCCTGATAACGTGGGGCCTGAATAGGTTACCCCGGGTCTTAAA